GAGAATTGAGCCCGATCTCAATTTCCCTTAGTGGACATCCACTAAGTGTGTTCACAGTAAGTTGAACTAGTTACCATCCGATTCTTCCTCCCAACTATAAATTAGAATAACTTCCGAATGAACGAGCCCTTTTTGATTTGAAAATATTTTGATTTTAAAAAGATAGGTTGATTAGCAATCTTATTCCTCCAAAAAATTGAGAAAATAACTTGAAGTTATTTAGTTTTTTCTATCCTCATAATAGGGATTGAGTCATCGCTTCAGCCTTTGGCTATGGAGAAATTAGCTATGTATGACAATCATACTTAGAATCTTTGAAAATAAAAATAAAATAAAACAAAGAAGAACTTTGAAAAAGAAAAGAAAAAACTTAAAACTATTTAAACTAAAATACTAAAAAAAAGTTAAGATAAAATATAATATTTAAACTAATATCCTAAAAACATGAGTTTAACTCAAATTTGAATTGCATAAACGTACGGCTGATCTATTCGTCCTTCTAGAAGTGCTGACTAGACCTTCTAGAAGGTGTTGACTCATCGTCTCGTTAGATGCGTCATGCCCACTAATCGAACCTTGTTTCCAAAAATAATTTTTTTTTTGCATAATTCTGTCTTTTTAGTGCAATTTCCAGAATCTAGTGTCCTTCACAGAAAATGAATCAAAACGAAGAAATCATCCACAAAACCAACGATTAATGAGAAATTTAAAATTGAAATAATAACTAAATAAAGCACCTATCAAAATCCCCCTCACTTATTCAATGTTTGTCCTCAAGCATTCCTCAATTAATACATTAAAATCACAAGTTGCCATTTTCAATTTCAATTTATTTCTCAAACTTCCAATCGAACTAAGTTAATGACAATTGTCGAATTCAAGTTACAATCAAGCAAAGAGACAACTAAGTAGAATTTTAAGCAAGCAAGATATTCCAATTATTTGCCAACTTTAATGAAACATAACTCAATACCTCATAAAGATTCACACATATCCGCTCAAAGTGTTTAGGGTAAATCAAAATTGCTCAAACCGAAACTAATAAATATATTACCATAGGCTTGGAATCCAATCAAGTCTCCACTACTAAAGGTGAACATAATGAAAAAATCAAGGGGTCTTTAAATCAGGTGTAATGTGGCTTAGGTTAGGGTAGGAAAAAGGCCATGATATCGGTTTAAGTACCAAGACAAGAGATATACAAAATATTCCTAATCTTCATAAAATAAAATAAAAGCAAACATATAAAAACATAAACATAAACATTTTTTCTTTTTATTCTTTTTCTATTTTTATTCTTTTTTTCATTTTTATTCTTTTTTTCTCTTGCTATTTTTCTACATTGTACTATTGTTCGAACCATTTTTTGTAAATAAAAATGATAAAACTAATAAAATAATAAAATAAGAACATACATCAATGTAAACAACTAATATACTTGTCTTGATAAGGGTAGAAAAAGAGGGATAAAAATAAAGGTTTGGGTTTAATTATGTGGTGTAAAACAAAGAAAAAAGATAAAGGCACAAAAAATGGTTTACTAGTGGATATATAAATGGGTAGACTTTTTGGGAAAAGTGGGTTTAATCCTAAGTGCCCCTATCACATTAAAACATTATGTCCAACATGTAGTCTCAATATGCATTGTGATTACAAGTTCTAAAATATCATAACTAGTCCGGTACACTCAAGTCAAACAATGAGCAAGAAAGAAAATGTATGCTAGTTAAGCTCGAATCTCACAAAAAAGGCTTATATGTACTGAGTCAAGTTCATCTCCATTAACAAATGCATGAAATATCAATACTAAGCAGAAAATCACCAGTTATACCAATCACCATCATGCAAATTAAATTCAATCAAAACATGGTCACAATCCAAAAGGAAACAAGAGTATAAAGTAAATTTCAAGATAAGCAACTAAAGATTCCAACACATCAATATTAGAATAACTTAATGCCAAACAATCAAATAAGAAAGCGAAAAATTTGATAGCAAATTCTACCCCCATTTAGACCATATTGTCCCAATATGAATATTAAAGAACAAGAAAGAGAACATAATTACTCCTCTGATTTAATGGCGATCGCGACTGTGGCCATGACGAGACAAACCAGACGAAGATAGGAAAGGATCTCGTCTAAGTTAGCCTCAATGGAATCGAGGCACCCATGAATTTCATGGATTTCATCGTGCGGATGTTCGGGCAGTGGTGGTTGCAAAGTAGTCCTCTAGAAAAAAACTCATTGATTACGAGGCGTGACAAATTAAATTCAATCAAAACATGGTCACAATCCAAAAGGAAACAAGAGTATAAAGTAAATTTCAAGATAAGCAACTAAAGATTCTAACACATCAATATTAGAACAACTTAATTCCAAACAATCCAATAAGCAAGCGAAAAATTTGATAGTAAATTATACCCCCACTTAGACCATATTGTCCCAATATGAATATTAAAGCACAAGAAAGAGAACATAATTACTCCCCTGATTTAATGGCGATCGCGGCTATGGCCATGACGAGACAAACCCAGACGAAGATAGGAAAGGATCTCGTCTAAGTTAGCCTCAATGGAATCGAGGCGCCCATGAAATTCATGGATTTCATCGTGTGGATGTTCGGGCGGTGGTGGCTGCAAAGTAGTCCTCCAGAGAAAAACTCACTGATTACGAGGTATGATAGTGTCGGGAGGAACCATGTGTCGAACACCGTCTTACCTGATCTGCGTCTTACCAAAGATGTGTCGGATTCGGGAGTCGATTACAATCAAAGAAGGATTATCACCCTTGAATTGCCCTTTCGGTACTAATTAATTTCCAGTTGTCTTTAATTAAGAAAATTGTAAATTTAAATTAAAATGTAAAATTTTGATTCAAATTACTTATCTCCGATCGATTTGAAAGTGTACCCTTAAAAATTCAAGAAACATGTTAGAAAAAAAAGGTAATGAAAATAAAATAAAATAAAAACAAATGAAATAAATAAAATGAGATAAAGAAAACAAAAAAGATGAAGTAAAGATAAAAAAATAAAGAAAATAAAGATAAAGAAAATAAAAGAAATAAAAATAAACATAAACATAAAGATAAAGATATAAAAACAAAGAAAATAATAACAATATACATTTAATAAATAAATAAATAAATAAAAACAAGAATACAATAAAAATAAATAAATAAATAAAATAAATAAATGTAAAGGTAATAAAAATAAAGTAAAGATAAAGAAAATAAAAAGATAAAAAAATAAAAATAAAAAATAAAGATGTAAAAATAAAGACGGTAAAGAAAATAAAGAAAATAATAATATACATATAATAAATAAATAAATAAAAACAAGAAAAATAAAAAGAAATAAATAAATAAAATAAATATAAAGGAAATAAAAATAAAAATAAAATAAAAAATAATAGTAAATATATATATATACAAAAAGGGCTAAATTGAAAGAAAAACAAAATTTAAGGTTAATTTTAAGGGGAATTCGGGGCTGAAAATAATTTTGGGGGCCAAAATGGAGTTTTTGAAAACCGGGGGGAACGAAACACAATTTCCCCCCTTTTGTTTTAAAACACACGGGTCTAAGCTTCGGGTTAGGTCACCATACAGGTTGTATAAAACCCAAATTTCAGCAACACCAATTCATTTTCTCTCTTCTCCCCTTTCGATCAAACCAGAAGCTCTATTTCTCTCTCAAACATTCATCGTGTTCTTCGTGAAAACGGAGAACACGACCGTGAAACCCAGATTCTGGTGGTTCGCCACAATGGCGGCCGCCGTTCATCAGCGGCGACCAATCAAAAAAGTTATGTTTTTAAAAAGCTTTTTCACCCATAATTCGAAAATCACATTTGTTTTTGCAAAAAGGCCTCGAGGAGGTCTAGATTTGAGAAAGATCTTTCAAAACCTCCTCTCCTATCATCAGCCTAAAAAACCCACCCTTTTTACTTTTCGAATTAACACGAAGATAAAGCCAACAACATTCAAGCATCAAACCGAGGATAGGTGAGATCTTTACCTTTATTTACTTTTCGAAATTTTTTACAAAAATAAATCGAATACCACTATTTTTTTCTATGATTTGCTTGTATTTCCTTTGTAACTTTTTCGTGTAATATTCGTGTGTTCTTTGCTGGAAATCTTGTGTATTTCAAATGTTTCTTTTACATTTATTTATAGTAGCAGTTAAATCCTATTTTTAGGAGTCCTAGTTGCACTAAACTTGTTTGTTGGTTGATTCTGTGTCACATGTCGCCGTGGTGCCGAGAAAATCGACGTTGGTTGCTTGAGGCGTGAGGAGGGCTCTTCTGTGGGGGAAGTGTGGCGCCAAAAGGAACACTAGGGTTCTGAAATCCCTAGCTTACTGGTTCGGGTCGAGCACAAGCGGACCCGATTCAGGTTTCTGTTGGATAACTGCTTTGGATCCACTGTTGGGCTGCTTGTTTAAAATGTATTGGTGGTCATCGGTAACCAAGTGTAATGACTTTTGGCTTGTAATTGTTGGTCCTGAAAAATGTAATAAAGTAAATAATAAATAATAAATATATGTTTATTATAATATATATAAATATTATAAATGTAACACATAATATATGTAATGGGACAAATGGGGTGTCTACATTTAGATATCCATGATCCGTGACATCCGTCACGAATCCCGTAGAAAAAGCGAAATCATTCACAGAAATTCTAAAATACTGGCCAAACAATCAAAAAGATATAACATCAGGATCGTTGATAAAAACGACTCGATGTTGTAAAAAGGTAAACATAACATAAAATACAACACTAATTCATAATACATGCTACACCTAATTTCAGGATACAATTCCCAACCAATGGCAACAAAATAATTAAAGACAGAATCTCGTAAATGTAAAGTATCAAGAGTACGAGAGGGAATATATTTGCAAACCTAAAACCGGTGATGTCGTGATCTGAACAAACACGTTTCTTAGTCATTTTTTTAAAATATTCTTAGTCATTGTTGCCATAACATGTATGGTAGTTATTTAGGTATTGTTTTGGACTCTGGGGATGGTGTGAGCCACACTGTTCCTATCTACGAAGGCTATGCTCTCCATCATGCCATCTTGCTTCTCGACCTAGCTGGTCGTGATTTCACCGATGCCCTCATGAAAATTTTAACGGAGAGTGGGTATTCTTTCACGACGACGGCTGAACGGGAAATTGTTAGGGACATGAAGGAAAATCTAGCTTACATTGCTCTTGACTATGAACAAGAGCTGGAGACGGAAATCAGCTCTGCTGTGGAGAAAAGCTATAAGCTACCAGATGGACAGGTTATTACCATTTGAGCCGAACGATTCCGCTGTCCAGAGGTCCTCTTCCAGCCATCCATGATCGGGATGGAAGCTGCTGGCATTCAAGAAACGACATACAACTGTATAATGAAATGTGACGTGGATATTAGGAAAGATCTATATGGAAATATTGTCCTCAGTGGTGGCACCACTATATTCCCAGGAATTGCCGCAGAATTTGCAAGGAAATCAGAGCGTTAGCTCCTAGCAGCATGAAGATTAAAGTGGTTACACCATCGGAGAGGAAGTACAGTGTTTGGATAGGAGGCTCCATTTTTGCATCCCTCAGCACCTTCCAACAGGTACTCTATCCCCCTTATCGTCGGAAAACCAATCATATCGAGGCTGAGTCCTTCACTGTTAGTTACAATCTCATGTTTTACATAGATATGCTTATAAACAACTGTGCATTCTATATCATAAGCTACCTCACATATGCCTCAGATTAAACTAATGGCTGATGGACAATGGTTTAGACAATGTTTGTTCCTTGCATTTTCTAGATGAACAATCCCATAGGTAAAAGAAGGTGAATTTGACAGTGGATATACTTTGGCAGATGTGGACTTTGAAGGCGGAGTACGATGAATCGGGGCCATCAATTGTACACAGGAAATGCTTCTAATGAAGAGCGAGCCTATACGCATGGTACACATTTTGCATTACAGCTAAGCTTATAAATCAAATGGTTGCTTTTCCTTTCGTTTCTTTTTCTGCTCTGTTACTTTGTTTCCCTATTTTTTCTTGTCTTTGAGTTATAATTTCACTGGTCTTTATCTATAATGAATGAGCAATTATTTCCTACTTGATGTTATTACTCCTATTTCGTAAATTTTACAACATAAGTACCCACCCGGAGATCAAAATTTAGCTTTACATAAAAGGAAATCAAAATCACTTCAAAGTTTTCTGTTTTGCTTGGTAATGGGAGAAGAAACAACTACAAGATTCGGAAATAAAGTGAAAATCCTTACAGAAACTTGGTAAAAACCTCACTGATTATTTCAAGTGACTAGCTATTACTTCAGATGATGGATCCATTCATGTCCTGATTTACATCAATGTTGAAGTTTGATGGTCCGCTGGAGTCGGCAAACCCCTTTACCGACTGTTCTAGAACAGACGTCTTTGTATTGACTAACGACTCGTGGTCTATAAAGATGACAACGGCCGTAATATCGTCGTGGAAAAACCGCCTTATCCCTTTGTCTACTTTCTTAAGATCATCATATTTCATCTCCCTTTTCCTAGCCGCCTCGTTTAAAGCCGTTCTAATGAGCCTTTTTGCAATTCCCTGTCATTAGTTTCGACTAAAATAAGAGAGGTAAAAGTTTCATGGTACAAGAAAACGTAAAGAAATGCAATGAAAGCAGCACTTACTGCTCGTGGAGAGCTCGAAACGATCTCCATAGCCTGCTGATTCGTCAAATGTTCCCAAAGTCCATCGGATGCAAAAATGAGAAACTTGTCACTAGGTTGTAAGACCCTGGTGCACAATGAAGGCTCCGCTGTTAACACAGGTCGGTGGATCGGTTCAGAAAGGTGAAACCGTGGGAAAGACGGGTCGAGAGAAAACTCGGTCCTCTTTAAGTATGCATCTCCGATGGATCTAGATACCTGAACCAGTGCATAGGTGAAATCAACACAAGGAACATACAACAGTCAGAAACACAAGTGACTTGCGCTAAAAGTTTTGCAAGCAAATAATATCAAATTGACTTCTGAGCCAAGTAGAAGAAAAAAACACAACTCCAAAGATAAAATGTTCATAGTAGGGGTACCCCTTTATAACAACACATGCATCATAGCACAAACTCAGGAGCAGATGACCGATGAACGAAAATAAGCATACCTGAATGATGCCTTTGATACGCCACACTCCGTGCTTCATAACGACAATATGCGAATCATCCGGATGCAACGACCTCAGTTCCTGTCTGACCTCCTCTATACTTGCATTATGATCTCTAGTCAACTGCTCGGCGACTATCTTATTTGATCGACTCAAGCAGCCGATTACAGCTCGAGAATCGCCCAAATTAGCAACATACAACATGCCCCTCCATATAACACTAACCAGACAACAAGATCCGATTGCAGCCATTAATGGTTTTATTCCACATGTCCTACGTACAAGACCCAGAAACTCATCTTCAGTTGTAGAGAAAGCACTTCTAAGAGTATCTTCAGAAATTCTTCCATTTGCTCGAGCAAGCTCTGTCAAACCTTGCGTAAGATCATCTGTAGAATGAATTACCAAAAACCAACATGCAATAAAACTAAAAACATAATTTATTTTGTATCATATATAGTCCTCATATTTGCTAATCGTACAAAATTAGGCTCTAATCTGGTCTCAAGTAAATCCCTCTGAATGAACTTGACACTCTAAAAAGTAGGGACGGGCATTCCATTGAGTAGAACAAAAAAATTGATTTATTTGAAATTTTTTTATTCGATCGAATCAATTCAAGTTGTTTAAGTTTTTGTTTAATTTTAATTGTAAATATTTATAATGTTATGATACTATTTGATTCTAATTTAAACAGTTTGCTTATATTTTTTCATTTGTGATATGCGTATATAATGTGAATTTGAAATTTTCTCGAATAGTGTTTGAGTTTTCTAGCATCTGAGTCTTAGTTATAAAAAAAAAAAAAATCAATGTATTTTTGGAGTTGAATAGAACCCTACTAAAAAGGAAAAGAAAATGGGAAAGTCTGGAAAGGAACATACTAATCAAATTATGAAAGAGATGATCAGAGATAAAGCGGGAAGCATCAGGGCCGCCATGTCCGTCATAGACACCAACAAAAATGGCATCTTTGCCGGTCTCAACTTGACTATGATCTTCGATGATCTCATTGGCTTGAACAACAGCAAACGAGAAATCTCCACAAGAGTGTTTTTCAAGGTCTCTACACCAAAGAAGTGAGTCAGGTACAGCAGCAGCAGCAGAAGGATCTTCTTCAAGCTCATCAGTATTGTTGGTATTGTTATAATCCTTGTTCATTCGGGCATATCGACTCACTGGTCTCCAAGAAGCGAAAACCATCCTTGTCAACAATGAAAACATCCCTCATTTCCCTTGGAACACAAGCAAAAGAAAGAATGTGGATTTCGAGGTTTTAAGGGTAGTCCCCCACCAAATTATTTGATGAGTGGTAGTGAAATTCAGACTGTGTTTATTGGAGAAAGTGAGGAAAGTGACGAATGAATGAATGAAGAAGAAGAAGAAGAAGAAGAAGAAGAAGAAGAAGAAGAAGAAGAAGAAGAAAAAGATGAAAGAAAGTGGAGTGAGTGAGCGTGAGAGTTGTAGAGAGGAAAAGCTAACGTTTTCATTGACGCTTCCTATAAGCAAATACCAAATACCACTCTCTATTTTCTTTCATTTCCGTTTTTTTCCCCTTCTACAAAACAAATGTTTTCATTTTTCTTATCAACTACTAAACAGTATTGTTTTGGATCCGTTGGTTTAATGACATGAGTTAATGTTTTTTTCTAAATAAGCTCAGAATATGAATCTTAACATATACTAATAGAACACATTTAGTTAAAAATTTAATTTTCGTTCTTCCAACACTCAATACAAATTAATCGATTAATAAATCAAACATTAATAACTATATCAAATAATATTATTTTTTATTAAGCTAAGGTGATTACAAAATAGTATTTGTTATAAATAATCTCAACTATTTGATAATGAACGCTCAATCACACTGTTGCAGCCACTGATGTTCAAACTCGTGACCTTTAAAAATAGTAACGATTCTTTTAACCACTGAGGTAAGTTGATTCATGCAAAATAATATTATTTTAACTCTTATTAACTTGTATTTTTCATATATAATATACGTATATCATACATATCAAATGTTTCTCGAAATTAGAAATAGTAATTATCTTTCTCATTAAAATTTAATTAACTCTTAGTTATGGGAGATAAGAGATTTATTATTTTAATACAATATATATGGATCTTTTCCAACTTATAAATGAACTCATTTTATTTAATATGTTACAATAATAACAATTCTAGTCAAACTGAGACTCAATTAATACAAAAGTGTATTATGAAAACTATATAATTATACGTAAAAAACATAATACAATTTTAAAAAAGAATATATATCGAAATAAATACATTAGATGTAATTATGAATCACGAAAAAGAAGGGAAAAAAGGAGGAAATCTAGAGGAGGAAATAAGTCAACAATTATATATAGAAAGAAAGGGGAAATGTAGTTGTGCTATTTTCCAAAACTGAAAAGGCTTAAAATCATGTGATACAAACACAAGCTTGTGATTACTTTTAAGCCTTTTTACCTATAAAAGCATCAAATATGATCAGAGGGTCAAGTGAATCGCCACCGTTGATGGAACTTCCAATGTCTTTTCATGTTTACAACTCGAAAAGCCCATTTTTACTACTCGACTCAAATTAATTTCGAATCATAATTTCATAAATTCAATTTGAAAATTTTTTAAATTCAAGTCAAGGTATAAACTACAACTCAAATAATAACATAATTTTTTTAGTAACTAGTTGATTAATTTTTAACTTTAAATTGACTCTATATGATATATGTATATCACATATATATATTGTATATGAGTATAAAAAAACTGTTTAAATTAAATCAAATAGTATAATAACATTATAAATATTTATAGTTAAATTTAAACATAAATTCAAACAACTCAATTCGACTTGAATTTTATAAACTCGTTCGAACCAAAAAGATTTCGAATAATATTTGAGTTGTAAATATAACTCGTTAACTTGAAAACTCAATTTTTTTTAATCGATTCAACTCGATCAAACGCCGACCCCTAGAGTACCGCCATTGAAGGAGGTTCAACGCCACCACTCCTACATCCCCTGCCCTATCAAGTACATTGTTTCTTTTTTTCCTTTTTCTTTTTTTTCTTTGTTTTTTTTCTAAAAGAAAGTGAGGGCCTCATTAAAAACTCATTACACAAACAAAGGTTGGGGTCCTATAACAAACAAAGGTTGGGGTGTTATAAGGGGAAAAGAGTACCAAGAGTCTATTAATAAGGATGGATAAGCAATAAACTCGGGATAACCCAAGAAAGACGTCATAGAATGGAGGACTCGTGTTGCCAACGCATGCGCCACTCTATTGGCTTCTATACGTACAAAAATACTATTACATTGGGTGAAATTAACACAAATATGATAAATAGATTGCATATGAATCCCTAAAGTAGAATCGTCAACAGATTGGCTATGAAATTTTTTCACGACCACAGTGGAATCAAGCTCAAATACAACATTTGGCCATCCTTCTTGAGCCATAGTAACTGCTACAATGAGACCATGAAGTTCTTTAAGCCCGGAGTCGAAGCAACCAGTGGAAGAAAGAGTTAGAACTCCAAGAACAGCTCCACGCTAATGACCCCCATCGGTACGAGAGATTGGGTCGAAGGCTCCATCCGCATTTATTTTGATAGTCCCCACAAGTGGAGGTATCCACTGCTCACCGTGAGAAGGTCTAGTAGTCGGACGGTTGACAGAACTTTGAGTAGCAAGAAAATCGCAGTAAAGTGCCTGAGCGTTAGCTACAAGTACCCAGGCAGGTTGAACTCGTCCATCATGAACAATCGAATTTCGTCCATCCCACACGTTACATAGGATCATTAGAAAACTTGCAAATACCTCAAGACCTAACGTAGCGACTG